TCAGTTAAACCTACAAGGAGTGAAAATTAAAAGATAGTTGTCAGCTGTTAAAGTATGTATACATTTAAAAATATATTTTTTATTGATTTTTTTTTTTTTACAGAGAGGAAGGTAGAAGGAGAGAGAGCTAGAAACATCAATGAGAGAGAAACATCGATCAGCTGCCTCCTACACACCCCCGCACTGGGGATGTGCCCGCAACCAAGGTACATGCCCTTGACCTGAATGGAACTTGGGACCCCTAAGTCCGCAGGCCAATGCTCTATTCACTGAGCCAAACCTTTCTCTGCTAAAGTATATATACATTTTTTTGAGACATCCTATACTTAACCATAAGAGGTAGCAAGCCCACTCTTAATTTTTTTACCTTAGAGAAATGAAAAGTTGTGTTCACATAAAACTTGTGTATTTATAGTGACTTTATTCATAATTGTCAAAAACTGGAAAGATCCACATGTTCTTCACTGAATGGATAAACTAACTATGATACATCCACATAGTAGAATACTACTGAACAATAAAAAGGAACCATTGACACATTGGGCAACATGGGTGAATCTTTAGTGCATTATGCTGAATGAAAGAAGCCAGACTCACAAGGCTACATTTTTTATGGTTCCCTATATAATGTCATATATATTATGTATGACATTATGTTAAATACAACACTGTAAGAACATGAAGCAGATCAGTGATCTCCAGGTTCTGAGAGTGACAGGAGAGAGGAGGGAAATTTTTGGGGTGATCTTGATTGTGGAAGAGGTTATTTGGGCATATGCATTTGCCAAAACTCAGAGCCGTGTATACTAAAAAAAGATCATTATCTTTGATAATCACGAAAGAATCAGTATATAATTAGCCTCTTCGCACGTTACACAACTAAAAGCACAAACTAAGCATTATAAATATGTTCCCTACCCCCATGCTTATTAGCAGTAGAACGAAGGTCATAAAAGCTAGTATTTGACTGCTTACTACGTGAGAGGTATTACATAAAAGACCCGTTTAAGCTTCACGAAAACTCAATGAGCTAAGTTGAGTGAACTTAAAAAGTCGGGATGCTTTGCTACCATGTTTCCCCGAAAATAAGACATCCTTCGAAAATAAGACCTACTTACTGATTTCCTTCTAAGTGAAATATAAGGCATCCCCCCGAAAATAAGGCCCCGTAGGCTAAACATGAGAGATTTGGTCCACTGATTCTGAAAGAAATGGAGTCATAAGAAATTCACCAGGAAATTCAGGAATTGGATTGTTATGGTGATGTTCCAGAAGATGATGACATGGTTGTCATTGAATAAACGAGTAAATTCTTGATACTGTAGGAGTCATAGTTTGTCTGGTTTGTGTTGACAACTACCGTACTATCGTACCGTATACAGGTAATTTCCTTTATTTTCATTTAACAATAAATGTGTACCGTATTCTTCATGGAAAAATAAGACATCCCCTGAAAATAAGACCTCGCACATCTTTGGGAGCAAAAATTAATATAAGACACTGTCTTATTTTCGGGGAAACGGGTAGAAATAAATGATAAAGATTTACTCAAGGGTCTTGGAGTTTGCAAAGTGGGAGCACAGCTAGGCAAAACCTCAGAAGTGTTCCAAAGGAAAAAGGAAAGTTAAAAGTTATTCTAGTAAAAAGTAGGAAATAAGCGAGAGAGAGAGAGAGAGAGAGAGAGAGAGAGAGAGAGAGAAGAGAGAGAGAGAAAACTCCCACAAAAGTAAACAACCAACCCCCTCCCCCACCAAAAAAAATCAAGCTGAACCAAAAACTTACTTTTTAAAATTTTTTTTTATTTTTTACGGAGAGGAAGAGACAGGGACAGAAAGTTAGAAACATCAATGAGAGAGAAACATCGACCAGCTGCCTCCTGCACCCCCCACACTGGGGATGTGACCGCAACCAAGGTAAATGCCCTTGCCCGGAATTGAACCCGGGACCCTTCAGTCTGCAGGCCAACACTCTATCCACTGAGCCAAACCGGTTTCACTGAACCAAAAACTTTCATTCATCCTAAGTTTCACCACCCAGAGGTAACCACTACAAACATTTTTAGCACATTTCCTCTTAGTCTTTTTTTAAAAATGTCTTATTTATATAGCTGAGGTCATACCTAAATGTAATTTTGGACCTGGCGCTTTTTTTCATTTAACATCAGAGCATAAACTCTTTGTAAAAGTTATTTTAAATGCCTTCATAGTAATCCATCATATGGATATTCTGTAATTTATTAACTGTTCCTTCACAATTTGATGTTTAGGTTGTTGCCAGTATTTTCGTTACTATAAATAGCACCACTATGAACATTCTAGTCCATAAATCTTTGTGTGCATTGCAGATTACTTTATTTTTAGGATAGTTTCCCAGAAATGTAATTAGTAGGTTAAATGTCATGAAGATTTTTTAAAATTACGTAGAGATGTAGTATTTTTATTTTAAACAACAAATACATTCCTTACAAATAAATGGGAAGGCTTCCAAGAGGGTCAAAAGTTCTGTATATGTTTGTGCCTGTGTATAAGTGTGAATAAGAAACAGAATAGAAACGTTATCAGTCCTTGGTCAAAGTTCCATAACCACTAGACTTTTTCTCTTGTGAGCCACTTCCCAATGTTTAATGGCACATGCTGATTAAATACTGATCAACTGAGTGCCAGCAAATGAAAACAAATGTCAAGTATGGAGTTTGCATGCCTTTTGCAAATAGATGGTCCATAGAACTGGCATTTCAGCATTTGTTGCCTGGTACAGCACTTTCACCACCATTATCAGAACAGCTTCTCATAGCTCTTGGGTGAGATGGATCGGGGTAGCCATTCCCATTCCCAGGTCATTGGTCAGACAATCAGGCCCAGAAAGAAGTGACTTATCCAAAGGCACAGAGCTGGTTGGAGAGAGCTGGGACTAGAATCCTAGTCTCATGGCTCTAGAGGGAAAGCCCCTGTTATGGACTGAATTATGTCCCCTACCCCCATCCATATGTTGAAGCAACTGTATTTGGAGATAGGACCTATAGGACACCAAAATTGTTGCAATAAAATGACCAAGGCAGTTAATCCGTCATTTTAATAGAAGCCAGGTATAGAGATGCGAGTCTACCAGCTGAGAACCAGTTTGGACCAAAGGGAACAGAGTCAGGACGAACTAAAGAAAGGTGTTTGGACTTCTATGATTCTACAGGACAGAACAATAGAGTTACTGGCCATGTTTTATCCTGAAGGTAATTCAGAGGTCATCAGGGCTTCCCTTCCTTCTCACTATAGGCGTAGAGCATACAGGCCTAGAGGACAAGGCTCTTTCTTTCTTGGTTTCAGAGGGTGAGTCCCCCTTCTGGTTTCTGGGAGCCAGGCTGCCCAGGCCTAGTGCCTCCAGGGGCAGGGTTGCAGCAAATAGCCACAGGGCAGGGCTACTGCTTAGGGCCACTGATGCCCCAGTTACCTGGAAGGCAGAGCATCCAGCCAGAGGACTAGTCTAGAGCTTTAAGATTTAGTGGATCAACCAAAGAACTGATATGCAAATATGCATAACCCTGGGGTTCGGTGGGGGCTGGGAGGAGGGGGAGAAAAGGAAAGGGCATCTATAATACTGTCAACAATAAAAAAAATAAAAAATAAAAAGATTCAGTGGAATTTGCCTTGCTAGGTTTTGGACTTCCTCTGAACCATCACCCTTCTTCCTCATCTCTCTCTTTTGGAATGATACTGTCTATCCTATACCTCCATTTTGGAAGCAGTAACTTGCCTGGTTTTACAGGCTCACTGATGCAGGGAAATTTGGCCTCAGAATGAATCATACCTAGAGCCTCACCATATCTAATTAGGTATTTAGATGGGACACTAGACTTGGAGTTGATGGTGGAATGTTAAGACTTTGGGGGCTATTGGGATGGCATGGATGTATTTTGCATGTAAGAAGGACAAGCATTTTGGGGAGCAGAGGATGGAATATTATGGACTGAACTATGTCCTCCCCCCCCCCCCCCCCCAATTCCTATGTAGAAACCCTGACCCCCAGTATGACTCTTTGGAGAAAGAACCTTTAAAGAGGTAATGACCTTGGGCAAATTAGCTTCTTAGGGCTGGTTTTCTCATCTGTAAAACAGGATGCTCTTAGTACCTGCTCTAGGAAAATTATGGGGCTAATGAAAAGAAATGATGTATGCAGAGTTCCTGGCACATATTGAAAGGCAATTAAAAGAATAGTTTTTTTTTCTCTCCCTAGATTAATTAATTAAATAAGTGAATAAATGTAACGTGCTGAGGACAGTGTCTGGTATTCAGTAAGGACGATGCCAGCTTCAGTTATATTATAGTTCTTTTCTGATTCCCGCAGAAGTTAAGCTCTGCACAGTCTTGAATCCTAACGATCCCAACTTCCAACTTCCCCTCAATACAGCTTCAGGTCTTTCCCGCCCTCACACGTTTCTCTGGGCCACTTTCTCTGCCTGGAGCTGCAGTCCTCCTCCTCCCTAGCGCGGCTGTCTTCTCTCCTGGGAATCCTCTCGGCTCCATCGCCCTCCTCCCAGTCCGAGGGAATGGCTCCTTGATTTGTGTTTTAGCTCTTAGTGCCCGGGGGTTCCATTAACCTGCTGGGTGAGGGGCCTCGGTGTCCCCCAAGACGTCTGGAATAGTGCGGGGCCGAGGAACGGGTCCAGTTTAACCCCTGCAAGCCCAAGCCCGGGACCCTCCCCAGGCCGCGCCCACCCTGAGCGAATCCTCACCCCCTGAGGGTCTGGGCTCTGCTTCCGCCGCCCCGGGGTCATTCCCCAGGGGTCCCGCCGGCCCCTCCCCGGCGCCCCTCCCACCCCCTCCGGGCGCGGCGTCCCCTCCTCCGCCCGGCGGAGCCCCGCGGAGCGGAGGGCGGAGCATCCCGATGGCTAGGAGCCGGCGGGAGGCCGGGGCGGTCAGTGGGCTGCAGACGCGCCGCCGCCGGGCTGGGGTGCGGGCATGGCCGCGGGCCTGTGAGCGCGGGGCGCAGGAGGGGCCGCTGCCACCATGCCCGGGGGAATGGGCGCCGCCCGGCGCTGCCTGCTGGCGCTCGCCCTGCTGGCATGGACCAGAAGTAAGTGGCGGGGCGAGGGGCCGGGGTGGAGATGGAGGTGGGTGAGCGAGGTGGTCCGGGGAGCTGGCAGTTGCTATCCTCCTCAACTCCGCGGGGCTGCACCCCGCTGCCCCAGCCCGGGAGCCCCCCACCCCGGGAGCCCGGCTTTGTTCCCACGTTGTCCGCCTTGGGAGGTGGGAGAGGTCCTGAGCGTGCAGAAAGCGGCGGGTCCCCTCCCTGGCTTCCTTCCCTTCCTCCCTCTCTTGCTTTTTCCTCTGTGTGTTTTTTTTTTTTTTTTTTCCTCCTTTTTTTTTTTTTTTTTTTTCTCCCTTCTTTCCCTGCTTTTGGCTTCTCTTTCCGCTGCTTTCCTAGTCTCTCCTCTTTTCTCCAGTCAGTCTTTGTGTGTGTGTGTGTATGTGTGTGTGTGTGTGTGTGTGTGTGTGTGTGTGTGTGTGTTGTTCCTATAAATACATACTGATAAAATTGGAACCATACCGTATGTACAGTTTGGTGCCTTGCATTTTCTGCTTCACGTAATGAGCATTTCTTTTCCTACGTTGTTAAATTCGCCAAAACATGATTTTAATGACTCTACATTCCACCAAGAAATCGCAGAACTATAATCTTTAAAAAAGTTAAAAATATGACTCTCATGCACATATAGGGTAGATGTGGCGAAGATTCGTTGGGTTCATTCTTGAGGCAGTGAATGGAATGGTGAGGCCAGTGCAGGAAAAGGGGTGGTGCAGGCATCGGAGGAAGAGTGTGGAAATCTTGTTCGGGGGACAGATGCAAACTTGGTCAGCGCCCCATTCGGGCCAGACAACCAGATTTCTTAGTTATCTTTCTACTACGGTGAAATCATTTGCATCTCTGAGGACCAGAAATCTAACAGTTAGCACATACAGTCTTTTAATGAATAGTCAGTAAAAACAAGTCAGACAGAGGTCCATTTCCCTAGATAACTTAGTGATCCTGGAAGGGCCCTTAAACAATGCCCCAATGTGACATTGAGAAGACTTCCTGCTTTCTCTTTGCCTTGTTTCCAAGTTTTGAACAATTTTTTTTAAAGATCCTGTAATCCCGAGCCCTTAGATTGCTTTCAGTATTTTTTTTGCATCATAAAGATCATTTTATTTTTTAAATATTCCATTAAATATCATGTAATTCCTTTATTTATTTATTTTTTATTTTTGGAAAGAGTCTGGACTTAATCAGAGATACAGAATATCAAGCACTTAGCATAGTGCTCAGAAAACAGGTAATGGGTAAATGAATGCATTACTTCAGATTTTTAGCAAAATGATGAATCTGATGCCAGGCTAATGAGATTATTTTTAGGATCTATTTTGATTGAGAACACATTATAACAGTAATCTAAAGGAAAGTTAATCCCACAACTCTAACGAAACAACTAGGGCCATCTTTCCTCTCATTCACTACATTCTATGTGATGGATGTGGTTGGTTTAGACAGAATTGATTTTGGAGACCTCACCCTCATCCCCAGGGGTCCTATGGAGATTTTTAGCCTGCTTTTATGGAGACTGATTTGCCTAGGTTTGGGGAAATGACCACTTGATTAAGATTGTCTGCAACCAGAGTTTGAGGTTGCCTCTGCCTAGAACAAGTCTCTCCTCAAACAAGTTACACTTCTCCATTTTTAAAACATAGGATTCCTGCAACCTACCTCCCAGGGTTGTCCTGAATATGAAGGAGAGCTGGGTGGTGAGATTGATTTGGAAAGTAGGGCGTGTCATCCAGATGCAGACTTCCCCCTGGGAAGCTCACATTTATGCTGTGATGCTCTGTGGATTGAGAAGCAATTTTACAGTGACCCTTCCCCAGTAATTCTGTGAGATGGGCAGGCAGGTATCGTTATTTTCACCTTACAGATGAGAAAACTGAAGCACACTTGAAATATACTGCCCATGGCCTTGACTCTAGAATATGCCCAGATCCAACCACTTCATTCCTCTCCACTGATGTAATTCCAGTCTGAGGCACCCCGTCATCTCTCACCAGGGCTCCTGCAAAGTCTCCAGCCTTGCCTTCTGCTTTTACTCTCCCTTCCTCCCCTCTCCCCCACCCAGCAAGCCGAACAATCTTTTAAAAACTGCACACAGATCATATTGCTCTGTATTTAAACCCTCCAGTATTTTCCAAGTCTATTTATAATAAAATCCAGACACTTTCCGTGGCCTCTGTGATACCAGACCCATGGCTGTCTTGCTGACCACGTCTCCTACCAAATTCCCCCTCATTTGCTAGACTCCAGCTACCACTATCCTCTGCTGCTTCCTTAAACAGGCCAAGGAAGTAACATTTTATCCACGTCTGCCCACGCAGGGCCATTGTGCCAGGTCTTTGCATGACTGCCTTTTTCTGGTCCCTGGGATCTAAATTAAATGCCATATTTGTTGACCACCCTTGTCTAAAATAGGGACCCCTCCTCCAGTGTCTCTTTATTCCACAACCCTGTTGTACCATATGAGAATACTTGCGTGTTGTCCGTTTCCCACCTCTAGAAGGTAAACAAATGGTGAGGAGTACAGAGCCCTGGCTACCCCTGTTGAGCACCAATAGTAAATGCTAAGAGCCTAGAATCCAACAGGTCTTCTAATAAGCCAGTATGGGGTTCTTCTCAGTCACAGTGCATGTGGCTCAGCTGGGGTGCAGAGGGCTGGGATTCCAATGGTTGTGCATCCTGTGTTGGCAGGAGGAAGAGGGGAAGGCAGCCCCCAGCCACAGCATGAACTAATAATACCTCAGTGGAAGGCTGCAGGAGGCCCTATGGGAGAAAAGGTAAGACCAAAAGCTCTCCTTCTCGGAGGCAAGAGTTGACAACATCATTCTGAGAGGGTGGGGGCCACCTGCTCGAGGCCCTGTCATCACCGTTAGTTCTGTTTCTGACCCACTCATTTCCTGGAGGCCCTGTCATCACTGTTAGTTCTGTTTCTGACCCACTCTATCCTGTCTATTTGTCACTTTTGAAATCCCAGATGGGACTTTCTTTCATCATGTGACACACTTCTAGAACTCTTTCAAATGCTATTACTTGAGGAAATGAAAATCCACATTAATGCTGACACAAGCTAAGTGCAAATATGTGTCATAAAAAAAACTGGCTCGATCGGACTTAATTGAGTATTGCCATTGGTATTTTTTCTCTGCGTAATATATGCTTCATTTTATTGATGAGGTAATGTACATGGAGAGAAAATGCTAATCTAAGTCCTTCCATATATATATAAAAGCCTAATCTACCATTATGACTGGTCATTAGCTATGATGCTCACTGACCACCAGGGGCAGATGCTCAACACAGGAGTTGCCCCCTGGTGGTCAGTGCGCTCCCACAGCCAACCTGCGGTTCCTCTGCTCGGCACCCGCGCGCCCCTCCCCCCCCCAGCCACACACACACACACACACACACACACACACACACACACCCCAGCAGGCCCCAATTGCCTGCCAGGCCAAGGGACCTCACCATGCACATTTTCATGCACTGCTCCTCTAATTTTTTTTAATAAGATGTCAGGTAGGGACCCAGGACTCACTGGGGAATTTATATCTTAAAATTCAGTAGGCATCTTGGCCCACAACACCAGCAAATACACAGGCTTTATCAAGGTGCTTGGGAATACTTCAGGAAACTATCCTGCAGAGAAGGCCTGTGCATCTAGGATATTCTTTATGTCTCTGGCTTCACAAGGGAGAGCTAGATAGAAAGATGTGATTGCTGACCTCCCACTTTGTGAACTTTGTTTCCTCATTTATAAAATAGGGCTGATGGAATAAGAAGGAAGAGGGGTGGGGAGCTGGGTTCAAAGGATCAGTGATTTATTGGGCAACATCTTAAGATTATAGTAGCAGAGAGAGGAGAGAGCTATGTCAGATAAAACTTCAGACTTTGTGGTTTTTGAGGCTAGAAAGGTAAATAAAGAGGAACAATGCCTAGAATCCTTACAGTTATGTTTAGAGTAATACAGACAGGCCCCCCCCCCCCAAAAAAAAAATGCTCCAATTTGTATTTACTAAGAAAACTTAAAGAGAAAATTTTAGGATAAATCAAAGCAAGTAACATTTTACTCTAAAGACAATGAGTGCATGGAATCCATTTCATCAAAAAGTAAGAAAGGCTGAAAATAGCTTCAGGAAAAGTCTAGACAAATTAATGGATGGCCAGCCTTGAGCAGGTTATTTTTAAAAATTAGTTCAGCCTATCCATTATTACCGAGCACTGTCTCTGATGGTCTTTTTAGAGGCTTCTCTGTTCTTCCAGATGTGGGATGGCTGGCATCCTCAGGAAGGGTTTGAGAAACAAAGTGGAGCGCCAGATCCTGTCTTTGTTCCCAGCCATTGTCTGTCCAGATTCTGGGTCATTGCCTTTTGTACGGACAGTCAGCACAGTGCCTGGCACCATAAGTATTTTTTGAATGAATAAATGAAGGGATGGGAAGAGAGAGAGAGAGAGAGAGAGAGACAGACAGACAGACACACACACACACAGGGAAGGTGGGTTCACTCATGTCTCTTATTATCATTTACATAATTAATTTATCCATCAAACATCAATTGAACACTCACTGTATAGTAAATATCATATTAGATCTTAACGAGGATGCAATACATAGGACAGATTGCCAATACCCTGTGGAACTGAAGACCTATTTAATCCAGCATTAAAGTGAAAGGAATTTTAACCCTTCTCTGGGGTCAATATGCTAGTGGGTCAGCTCCCTAGGAGAGGTGATGTCGCTCATTCCACGCACACAGTGGAGCTGCAAGAGAAAAGCTGAGGAAAGCTGGACAGGGAAGCTGTGTAGATCCTCGCAGTGCTACTTCATTGTTTTGCTCGACATGTCTCCTGGAAACAAGGAGCATCATCTTTTAAAAATATCAGTGTCTCGCCAGCACCGGTTTGGCTCAGTGGATAGAGCGTCGGCCTGTGAACTGAAAGGTCCCAGGTTCGATTCCGGTCAAGGGCATGTACCTTGGTTGCAGGCACATCCCCAGTAGGGGGTGTGCAAGAGGCAGCTGGTCGATGATTCTCTCTCATTGACGTTTCTGACTCTCTATCCCTCTCTCTTCCTCTCTGTGAAAAATCAATAAAATATATTTTTTTAAAAATAAAAAATAAAAAAATAAAAATAAATCAGTGTCTGAGCATCTTCCAGATCAGAAAGAAATATATTTGGATGACTCACTTAAAAAAATAAATATTTACCCTCACGCTGGGGAGGGGTGACAGTGCTTCACTTTCCATCAGCTTTCCTTTTTTGTGTGGGCTGTCACATGGCCACCTGCCTCTTGGCTAAGAGAATTGCTGCAGCCCTGTCACCATGTGCGTATTCTCAGATAACCACTTGGGACTGTGTCCCTGAAGCCTCATGTGATTGCACGGGGCCCTTGCTCCACAACTCCCCAGATAGCGTGGCAAAGGACCAGCAACCAGAATAGACAGGTGTTGGCAGAGCTGAAGCAGGGCATCAGAAACAGAGAAGTGAATCCCTTTGCAGAAAGCTATTGGGCAAGCATGCATCTAACTTCCTCTCCCTATCGTTTTGAAATGTACTTCTTAAGAGAAGTCAATAGGACACAGTAGCCAAGAAGAAAGCCAAGGACAGGGTTGCTCAAGCATCCTGGGCCAGAAGGTTCAGGTCTTATCACGGCCCTCAAAGGGGTTGCCCAGAACTCTAATGGGAAGCGGGTTTTGAGGCAAAGAAGAGGAGGAAATGTGCGTGGAAGAGGCAGAGCCCCAAGGAGAAGTGGCTGATGTACTTCCTCCTTTCTCAGACACACCAACACGAAGGTTCTCGGTCCACCTTTGAAGCGGCAGAGACTTCACTCCAGTAGGGCTTCTGTGGATGGAAAGAGGCTTCAAGAGTTTATCAGTGTCTTGGTATCAAGTTAGAGAGCATATCTTTAAAATACCCCAGAGAATTGGTGCTGTTTGAAGCAGGCTTAAGTATGTAAACACCCTGATTTAAATAAGCTTTCCTTCAAAAATAGTTTCCCCACCCTATGTTAAATTGTTGAAGCATGGAAGTTAGTTTTGACTTCGGTTTTTAATTTCTTTGAAAGTATCCACAATAATAAGGTTAAAAAGAGAAAAGCCCATTTCTTAAGCAATGATAAAAACATAGAAAATTACACAAAGGAAAATAAAATTAATCAATAATCCCATTGCCTGGCGGTAACTATGGTAACTTACTGGTTTCGTTTTTTTTTCTCTGCTTTTTCCTTTTATAAAAGTATATTTAAACAAAATATATAGTGTTCCATTTTGAGTGTTTGTGCCTCATCATGATCATGTATAGCTTCTTAATAATTTAGAAATTATTTAAATGATTGTCTATTTACCCATTCTCCTATTTGGACATTTAGGTTACATTTCATTACTCAGGGTTGTAATTAATGAATATCCTTCTTTATAATAAACCTTTGCCCATTCTTCCATCTGTTCCTTTCAGACATAGTCTTATATTACTGGTCAGAAGGTCTAAACACTTAAAACTCTTAGTCCATACTGTCAGATATTTTCCAGAGTTGGTGGTGTCAGTTTGAATTCTCACTGGTAGGGTATGAGAGTGCCCACTTTATGGTGTGCTCTGTTGCACTACGATTCATGGTTTAAAAAAAAAAAATCTGTCACTTTGATTTCTTTTAAAGGTATTTAAAAAAAATTGGAGGTGGGTAGTGACTAGTGACGTTGAACATACTTTCTTGTCTGATATCTTAAATGACCTATGCTGGATGTATACCAACTTTGAGCATCAGCAGATTTGCTCTAGTATGTAAAATGTATCTTCTTTTGGACTTACAAAACCTTAGTTTGAAGTGTTCCTAGTTGCCTCTTCTGAGATGACTGGGGTATTTCTTTAAATTGGGAGCAAAACAAAATAATGTAAAATGAGAACGCATTATGAAGGGGCTCTTCCTGGTATTCTAGATAATAGCCACCATGTACTGGGGCTTCCCACAGGCAGACAGATTCTTTGCATTCACTATGACACTTAATCCTCCTGAGGCCCCTCAAGTTTGGCTAGGGAGGTTTAGGAACATGCCCAAGTTCATCTCACGGCAAGTGCCACAGTCAGCACTTGAATCCAGATCTGACTCTACACAGAATTTGCTGCTGAAGATCGCATTTTCCAGCATTTACCTTTACCAGATCTGCATGCAAGCACTTCGCAGCACACCACGTTTCCGCTCCCAGCTTCTTTCCTTTGTCTTTTAGGCGAAGGCAGGTGGGGGAGGGGAATTGATCCTTCTGGGATTGCAGCTATTTTATGTTTGGGCTGGGAATGCAGTTGACCCTTCCCCGTTCACTTCCTGTGGATCAATGTCAGAGGGCTGCACTAGATCCTGTGTGTGTGTGCCTGGGAGCCTCCACCCTGCTTTTAAGAACTGACATTCTTTTTGTTGTTGCTTTTAGCATCCACTCAAAGCTGAGCTCAGGGTAATGGCCGAGGGGCGAGAGCTGATCCTGGACCTGGAGAAGAATGAGTAAGTGGACTCCTCCTTTGTCTCAAATGAAACAATTCACTTCCATGTCAGTGCCGGACGCAGGTGCTGCTGTTTTGTAAGGAAGCAGTTGGTGAAGTGACCCAGGCTCTCAGTCCATGGTTTCTTTGTGCAGAGCCTCTTGCAAAGACAGTGTTTCCACAATCCCTTGACTTGCTGTGCAATTGCTGGACTGTTTAATGGGCTGTATTTCCGGGCTGCTTCTTAAGAGTTCACTCTGTGTGTGTGTGTGTGTGTGTGTGTGTGTGTGTGTGTGTGTGTGGTGTAACGAGGGAGGGATGGACTGGAGGACTCTAGCAGCTGTCTCACTAGCTGCAGCACAGAGCATGGCAGGAAGCAAAGGAGATTAGAGGAAAACAGCAGAGAGGAGAGAGACGAGGCGAAGTGTTGTGGGATTTGCACCTTCAACCCTGGCTGCTCTGTCTGTTCGGAGTTGGCTACATCTGAGATTCTGCCAGTAGGGCCATGATCAGCAGTCTCCTGCCTTCTGTGGGCTGGTTCTTCCATCTTTCTAACCGCAGTCATCTTGGGTGGTGGCCTGAGTCAGAAATATTTCCACATTGATTTGCCATCAATCACAGTTATATCTTGATTCATCTTATGGAGCAGGTGAATAGATAATGCATAGCCCTGTCTGTTGCCTGTTCTTGGGCCGTTCCCAATCTGCTTGGCCACTGGAGTGCTCTCCTGCATTGGCCTGGAGACCATGGAGGCCTTTGGTATTTGCCCGCCAACAGTCCCCCTTTGGTTCTGCCACGCAGATCTTGCAGATAAGGCTGCCTGGCTCGGACAACTGCCCATCTCTTCTTGGCAACCTCCCTGGAAGCAGATGAGTAATCAAGCACATCACTGCCAAGAAAGGGATGGATGGGGCCTTCCCATAACCAGAGGGTGGGAAGGGCTGCTGAGCTTGGGTGGAAAGCGAGAACATAAATTATTCCAAATTTGGGCTTTTGGACCCTTGCGAAAGGAGGGTGTGGTAGAAGTGAGACTTGAGCATGTGCAGTAACGCGGCTTCATGCACACCTTTCCTCAACCTGCAGAACGTTAGACATCTCAGTCATTTTTGCTTGACTGAGAATATGTTCTAGACGATGAACTAGAATGTGTTCTTTTTGTTCCATCTCCCTGGAACAGACCTGGCTGCCTCTGTCCCAGAGGGCGCGGCCCTGCATGCCTGGGATTTCTCCTCACATAGTCTTCCCTTTGCCCTGCAGGAAAACAGACTATCTGTTCTTCACAGTCTCTCTCAGGGGTCTGCTTCACTTTCCCATGGTCCCAGCCCTCCAGCTCTGATCTAAATGTTCCCTGTTGCCACTCAGTCTAATCTGCTCCATTCTGCCCCCAACTGGAGTATTTGACCCTCCAGCTTCCTCCAGCAATCATAAGTGGTGGGGTTGTGGTCCTGGGCAAATCCTTAGGAGTTGGACTTGCCAAGGAGGAATCCCAGTGCTCACCCTTCCCTCCTCTTCTGGAGCCTTTGTAAGAGGTCACAGGAAGCTGTAGTGGGAAGACACTTCAAAAAAATATTTAGTGCAACTGACTTATGTGTGGATGTAGAAACTTCAACTCAGAGGGGGTAGACACTTATCTAAGGCCACGCAGGAGGTGAGTGGGAGAGGTGAGAGTAGAATTCTTTGTGTTCTTGGCTTGAATCTGAAGTTAAGGAGAGCCGTGGATGTGGTTCTATTGTGCATTGCTCTGGGCAGCTCTCTGGCTTTCCAGTGAGTGGCAGGGGCCTGGATGTGGTTCCTGGTCTCCTTGAGTTGGCAGGAGGCAGAAGACTTGACAAAAATGGAAACAGCAGCGTCAAGCACTATGATCTCATCAGGTATCCCTGGGGAACAGCTTCCTGCTATTTTCGTCTAAATTGGGCTTTTTGTTTTTGAACATGTGTTAGTGAGCGGAACTCCAACTGCACACGACTTCCTATTGTGTTTATTTCCCAAAGCCTTCTCATTCATGGTGCGTGCGAGGCCAGATGCAAAACAGCTTGGAGGTGGGAGGTGGGGATGATGCTTTTCTGATTTTTCAAATCTCTCTGTTCAAGTTTTTATAACCATGATATTTGAGGGGAAACTGGGCCATGTGCTAAGCGACTCCTCAGTCTGTTTTTTAAGTTCCTCAATTGATTCATTCATTTATTTTTTATTTTTTTATTCCTATGCATCCATAGCAGTGCAGGCACCCGTGTCAGTACTGGGGTATATCTGTGAATAAAACAGTTCAGCCCTTATGAGGCTTATAGTCTGCTGGTGAGAACAGTAAACAAACAACAAGTGAATGTATAGTATGTCTGGTGACAAGAGCTATGGAAACAAAGGAACATACGGGCTCAGAGAGCAGGGACTGGGAGGGAGGTGCCATTTCAGAATGATGGTCACAGAAGGGCTTGCTGGTGAATTGGTATTTAAGTCAAGACCTGAAGGAAATGAGAAAATGAGCCATGTGGTTGGCTAGGAGATGGCTATTTCAAGGAGCAGGAACAGGCAAGTTCAAGGCCCTAATAGGTAGTGAAGGTTTCTTCTCTCCCTTCCCAACCCCTATACCTTTCCCCCTACATTGGATTCTCTAGCGCTTTGGGAGCTATGGGCAAGAGCTTCTAGCACTCTGAGGGGAGAGAAGACATTTCTAATTTCTTTTTCATCATCCTGAGGTGTCTGGATTTCTCCCATCAAATCAAAGCCCACATGCTAATGCATGGCCCAAAATAGCAGTGAGCAGGCCTTTAATGGAATTCGCACATGGAGAGATTGCCAAGAATGGTGAGGATGGAGGAGCATGGGTGGTGGGCCAGGAGAGAGGGAGGGGACTTTAGCTCAGGCAGCAGATACCCAAGGTGCCTCATTCATTAGCATGGCAGCTGGCAGTCTTTTTCTGCTGTGAAGCAACTCAGAATATAAACAATGATGTTTATCTACTCAGTGCACAAGCATCACAGAGATAATCTGCATTTGGCTTTCATGTCAGATAGTCCTGGGTTCAGGTCCCAGCTCTCCCACCTCCGGGCTGGATGTCCTCTGTAAGCCTCAGATGTCCTATCTGGGGTATAATGAAAGTCACACGTTCGAGAGCCAGGAAGATGAAATGAGATGGTTCATGTAAAGGACCCAGCACAGTGCCTTGCTCATATTATATACTCAGTAGATGGCAGCTATTGTGATTTCTCACGCATGTCTTTTTTAAACAATTTTTTCTCACTCGTGTCTTTTTTCATTGCAACATGCTCACTGTAAAACATTTAGCAATACCCAAGAATAATAAGTAAAAGAATGAAAGTCTCCTACCCACAAAAAGAATCCACTGTTAACAATTTTGGTGGACATACCTTGGACCTTTTCTATGGATGAAGGAACCACACAGAAGCACATACTCAGCTTGCTGTTTTAGTGGGGAAAGGAAGAGCAGAAAGAGATTATGCTTTACATATTGGTCCACACATGTTTTTTTAAGACTCAACCATATATCATGAAGGTAGTACACTGCTTTACTAGAGTATGTATCGATATTACATTGTTTTATATTTATACACATACACACATAATTTGCAAATATTGGTGCATAGCTGTTGTTCTGAGAACCTTACTTGTGGTTAGGGCAGTGTGATACAGTCCTGAGCTCCGAGACAGACACGAGGAATTGGTCAAGAAGCCATTGGGCCCTTCTGGGCCTCAACTTTCTCATCTTTCAAATGGGTGTTTTTCCCCAGTTGGGCTCTTAGAGCTTCTCCTGTACCACTTATTTAAAGGATAGCATGCAATACCACTTGTTTAAAGGATACCATGCAGGTGGAAAAATGGAAAAGAAGCAAAGAGTTTGCTCTCCATTCATGGAGACATCCCTGGAAAGAGGGGGCAGTGGGTTAAAGGAAAACCGCCTCCAAACCATGGACCTTGAAGCTGAGGATGAACTATTATACTAGTTTAGGTAACATAAACACCAGAAGGAAAATTACAGAGAAGAAATGATGGTGCTGCTTCCACAAGCCACAGTTTGGAGGCATGCATCCGTAATGCCTTTTCTCCATGTAATTTTCCCTATGCTCTGAGGACTGGCTCATCATCCCAGAGACCGTATTGGACATAAAACAACAACAACAACAACAACAACAAAAACTTGTTTGCCAAAATGAAACGAAACCTTGCTGAGCTGTCAGCATTGGGGAGAGGCACACCTCAAGAGTTATAGGTCTTGTCTTCCTTCCCTTCTCCTTTCTCCACTTTTTCCCAAGACACTGAACTCTGGAACCAGCTTGCAGGATGCTCATTGGGCTGCATTACCAGAGGTCAGGGTTACTACAATAACTACATTGGAAGGTCACCTTCAAAGGCAAATAAACAGCTCAACTAGTGGGCACTGAGCCCAGAGGACCTCTGGCTGTATGCTTCTCTGCTGTCTCTTACACACATGTTGGAACTCTCATCTCTTCACTCCATTACCCTCCCTTGGAGTCCAAATGATGATAAGATTTGGGTTTTGGCTTGGAAAAGGGACAGCTGTCCTTTGGTCTTGCCCCATTCATTGTGCTTCAGCCCTGGCTAAAGACAGGTCCTGTTTGCATCCGTCTAGCCAGTAAGAATGGATATTTATTTTCCTCTCTGTGTATCTACCTCCAGACCTCCCGGGGAACAGTAATTGTCAAAGCAGAATGGGGGCGGTGAGAGGTCTGCGGGTCATAGTACTCACCATTACTTCTGACTTGAATCTCTCTTCACATCTCGTGACTTTTTATCAGTCCCTCAGAGGTACCCTAGGGAAGGAGACTGCTTTTGTTGGCTTGGAAGTCAGGCTACCACCTGGAAAATTAAGTCATTTGTGATTTAGCTCCCTTGTTTTCTCCTCCCCCCGCCCTCCTCCCCCCCAGTCCTGTTTGAGTTGTATAGATCTGGAGGGCCAGAGAAGAGGAGAGCTAGCAGGCAGGAGAGGCGTTTCTCAGCACTAGACAGGATGGATTAGCTATCACCTCTTCTGCGGCACTTCTC